GCTCCACATCTGAAATGGAATTTCCAACACAAAATAAGGGAAAAACACTTTTCGACACTTTCAGTGTAAGGACTCGTTGTCTTACAAGACCACGAAAGACGTCGAACAATTGGTGGTATTGTTGAAGTCGTTATCGTGGTGTAGAAGTAAGAGTAAAAGTACTAAACGAGTGCAAATAATTAGGTATTTAAGGGATTCGGCGCACGCCGAAGCCCAACAGTCCCAAATGGTCGTAAATGGTAGCAAATTATAGATAGGGGTGGGGGCATTGTAAAGTAGTGAAAAGTAATGGAAAACCCAACCTTAACACTCTCCCCACTAGATTGAACCCAGGGATCAATCTCAAACAAAAAGGAAACAACCGTAAGGCAATAAGTAGACTAGCTTTTGAGGGCCACTGCTTCGCATGGCAGGTACGAGTCCTTTTTGATGGTCATAATGGCGCAATATCACGCAACTTCAGCCGTCGCAAATCTACAGTAGAGCACAGAACTTGAAATTAATGAGGCGATGGCCCAAAATATGCAGGGTTCTAGTACAAAAACTAACCAACGGAAACATCCGCGACAATCGACCGACTGCGCTTCCATCTTTCTTCTGCCAAGCCATATCAACGTTCGGCTAAACGGTGGTCGTGCCCGGTCATCCAACCAGGATCCATTGTCTCTTGACGAGACTGCTCTATGTTCGCTCTGGAACGCATCCAAACCCCTTGTCAGTCTATAGTAAAATATGTACTTGATGATTCAAGAAACAACGTACCCGAGCTGTTCGCTGCCGTCCCTCCCACGCGTGCTGAAAGAGGCGCGCTGCGCGCTCTCTAGTAAGGAACCAAAGTCAAAGCATCGCTTACCTCAAAAACGTCAACCGAAGGCAACGCACGACCCAGCCCGAGGAGCCCCTATCAGACAGCAAAGCTCAAGATCCAAGTGCAAGGGCGACAATTATCTTCGCGAGCCGAGCGTGCCGATACATCCGAGATCAAATCATGATGTGAATCGGCAACGAGCGTGAGTAGTCTCTGGACAGCCACACTCAAAAATTTAATAAGGATAAAGAAGAGAGAGGGCAGTAATGGAGCATAAAGAAAAAACAAAACACGACTGAAACAGAAGGGCAGGAAATTTCCTTTCCTTTGAGGATGTTTGGCAATACCAAAACGCGACAAACATCCAACAAACATCATAATTTGCCACGTCCAACAACAAAAGAAAAAAGACACGTACCCAACACAAGGAAAACAATAGGTGAAACCGCTAAGATGTCGAGATGTCGAGATGTTAAAGACACAGTCCATCATCAAGGGGGGTTGGTGGTCGAGGTCAGTGGCGGACGAAAATCATATACTGTAGCATTTCGACCGATCCTTCACGCCATGTCACCGTCACCGCAAAGGTTCACTGGATAAGGTCTTCATTGCTCGGCAATCACACCATCATTACCATAAATGGTAGTTCGGCGGATGCCGGACCAAAAATTTTGGCGTTTTTAGGCCCAATTCGGCCAGGAAACCCGCCCGTCACCGTCACCGACACCAAAATCCTTCATTTCACGACCCTCCGTCACCCGTCACCTGAAGGATTGGTCGAAATGGTACAGTAATCAACGAGTCTAAAATTAAAATTTTAGGACTCGTAAAGTCCAAGTTTTCAAACACAAGATCGCAAGGAGGGAACAAACACGGAGCGTCCGGCTGTCAAGAGGAGTACGGACCACGCCACGAGCGGCTGCTCCAGCAGCGGAATAATGATTCGAAGCAAGGGGATGGGATGCGGGTCGCGCGGTGAAAGGGTTGCACAGGAGAAGCGGATGGAATCAAGATTCGACGGTTTAGATATGAATGAAGACAAAGATACAACAAAGTTGAATCTTTAATCTAATCCACAACAAACAACCTAATCCTAAACACTTTACTACTTCTACCGCCGAGTTCGTATTGTAATGAGGGGAGCAGGTAATTAAGGGGTTGCTGTTTTAGACGTGTGCAGCGCGCGTGTGATCTGAGTGAAGTAAGGCTTGGTAACCGAAGTTATAGCACCCTATTCGCAAAGTGGATTGTAAAGCGTCCAAAGCTATATGCCAAAATCCCAAACGTATCCAATCCAAGGCTATGCAACAAGCCTGTAACGATTCCAAGTCCCAAGGCTATACAACAAGCCGGTCACAATTCCAAAGGCTATACCACAAGCCAAATCCCAAATCAAAGGCTATACCACAAGCCAATTCACAAGCCACAGGTTCAATACAATTCACAATCAGTCAGGAGTCCAGGAGTATCGCCAGGGGCGTGCAGAGATTTATATTATAACTTGGAACGGCACTATTCTGAATAGAGTAGCCCTGAGTGACAAGTCCAGATCCGAACCGTGCGTTAAGGAGGGCCGTAACTGGGTGGCGCCTCAATAACCGGGGTGGGATTCCGTACCGTACATGCCAGTGCTCTCGCTATTTTATACTGTACACTATAACGCTTACATAGGGAGAATTACAAGATTGCGGATAAACGGAGTAGGGGTGTGACAGACGATCGGGTATACATGTGTTTAAAATGAATAGAAAAACGAGTCATATCGGTAGCCAAGCAGTTACAGTTGAAATAAGAAAGATTAATGAAACTCCTGAATGTCCATTAGTTGCCTTGGGACTTATCTCGGACTTCGTGTGGTGCTGGAAGTCGAGATTAGTCCCTAGGTTCTGAATAGGGCCGTGCCCGTGAATAAGATACTCAGAAATGGATTCTACATGTTCGTAGCTTCCACTGAGTACCCCGCACTCCCTTGTGAAGAGCTTGGAAGACCAAGTTCCTGGATTGGAACCTTAATCTCCCCGTTTTGAGAGTCGATCGCGATTTGATGTGATCATGTCCGGATAATTCCGTATCGGCCTATTCGGAACATGATCTCGGGCAAGTACTGAGCCGGTCACGTGGCCCATCGCGTATCCCATTTCGATGCAAAGAGATGTAAACAAAGGCTTCAATCAAGCGTCCGGCGTCCTCAAGACCTAACCGATAAATTCCCCAGATACCCACTAGGTACGTTATGAATAAGGGAGCTCTCTTGTACAACCTGAGCGTCTGTAAGTTGACCCAGTTTTAATTGTAACCCGTACAACAGCGCTAATTCAGTATGATCTTTCTGAATAGCCCCTGCGGGTGGACTTATCATAGTCCCCATTAAGAGTAGGCTCAAAGCATAATATCAGATATGATATTATGCTTGAGACGCGCGTTAAAAAGAACAGAAAACGCGAAAAACGCGTGAAACAGGCCTAAACCCGATACACGGCTTATCAGCGGCGTGGATGAATAAGAGGACACAGGAGTTCGAGGTGATGTCCGCTCAGACAGCAAGTCGGGAGGTAACGTGCCAGAGCACGAACCGAATGGACCCGGGTGTAGCGCGCCACGACCATACCCAACTGCGCGGATGCCGGCGAGGGAAGCGTGGCAGCGAAGAGCGAAGCCACGGCGATGGAAACCCAGATCCAAGGATGGTTGTACGTGATGCGTCGGGTGCCGCAACGCCCGGCCACGACAGTAGGCGTAGCAGCGGATTGAAAGTCGGAGCGAACATCCCGCAGCGGCAGTGCAGGTAACCGGGATGCCGCGCTGCTTGATAATGGCTGGTGGTAGGATAGAATGACGCCGGCACGCTGCGAGGAGACGCCGCAGCGTAACGTGGAGGTGACGACGAGTGTGCTTGGATGCCCATGTCAACGGGGACAAGAGCGGCTGGGGGTGGTGTCGAACGGACGAGTCTGGCCGGTGCGCCAACGAGGTGTTGGGCCCGTCTACCTCCGTACCCTCGCATATGATCAAGGCTGTCGTTGTTGTTTGGAACAGAATGCGCAGCTGCGACGACAGCGGCAGCATAGACAGTAGTGCAGAGGCAGTGGGCGCCAGAAGAGGAGGGAGAGAGCAAGGAGGTACAGATGCAGGAAGAATGCACCGAGGATTTCTCGAATCTCGACGCGGCGAACGATGGATTTGAATGGTGGGGCGGCGGCAGTCGAGTGATAGATGGTAGGGCGAAAGTGTAGAACGGAAGACGGTTGTAGCACTCGCCTGCTGCCTTATAGACCCTCGTGCTGCGTTCCTCCGACCTCTTCCCGTCCATCTGCGCTGGCGCTGTTGTCGTCCGAGTCGTCCCATTCCCTGCAAGTCTACGACAAGCGCCCTTGTCCTCTCGATGGCGGAACGGAACCGGGGGTGAGAGCGAGACCTCTGCTGAGGAACACAGCATCAATCCGGCGCGTCGTTCGCATCGTCTGCGGTCGGAGGCCAGAAACGCGGGAAGCAAGGATGAAGTTGTTGGCTGTTTGCCAACAGCACCCACAGCCTTGTGCGCGCCTCCGTCGGCGCGCTCGATATTCTGCGAGGTGTATGAACTATGGAAGCCCTCTACATCCTTCAAAAATCTCGAGCTCGCCTTCCAAAACAGTCCAGCATGATGAATGCCCAGCATTCGGCATTCGTAGCTGATAAAATGTCCCGCACCGTATCGATGAAGATGAAAAAGATAAGCGACGACCGGACGACTGCATGCAGTCGCATCGAGCGACTGATCAGCCTGGAGGGAACCACAGCCCAAACCGCAAGCCAAAGGTTCTGAGTCTACTATGCCAAATCCCAAGCGCCAGTGCGCTCGCCGAACCTCGTACCCGCTCGCTGTACCTCCAGGATCAAATACTGAGCCTCGGAGGTCTTCAGCAAGCTGGGAGTCAAAAAGCACGCCGATAGCTCGCATCGCTGTCGATGCAGAGATACTGGAAAACACGAAGCTCATCGACAGGCGATGAGAGAGATCTGGAAAGATCAGGCGTATACGGGGTTTTGATATATCATATGGTGGGCAATGTCCCACTTGCCATGATACATCAATCTCTACAGTTGTGGAGATGGCGCTGATATATCAGCGTGAGCCCTTGCCTTTTTGAGTAGCTCCGTCCGCTACCGCCGCATCTTCCTCCACCCCTCCTCGTCCCTCCACTCCTTCATCGCGCGGATGGGGTAGTGGTAACCTGGGTCGTTGCCATTTGCAGCGTTAACGCGAAAACATCGACCCGCCGGGGGTTCAATTCCCCCTCCACGCATGCAGTTCTTCTACAGTCCTTTTTTGCTTTCGCGCCATTTGAGGAAGGGTTTAACGATCGTTCTTCTTCCGCCCGGGATGATGTGACGCAGTTTAGTTGATTTACAGGGTATCGGGTACGGGACGAGCCTGGATATTCGATATCTCGTCCATAGCATTTTTTGTGAGGTGCGTTCCCGCGGCGAGCTGGGGATACACAAGCGAGATGAGTCTAATAAGGAGGGCGGCTACCAGAGTTGAAAGCGAAGGCCCGAGGGTGGTTGCCATTAGCCAGCGCGAAGCGTCGATCCAAGTAATTTGTCCTTCACGAATGGTACGCGCCGAGGCGGACTGTTCCCCCACAAAGATTCTTGAAAGCAGGACCCGAGCAGTCAACCGATTGCGAAGCGGGCGAAACACTGTTGATTGAATAATATCGCGGTGCAGGGATATTCCCTACGGTGGTTGAACAAAGAGCGGGCGAAAGGGTGAACGAGTCGAAAGGATACAGGCTTCAAAAGACGTTGCGCAGCCGGTCGCCGCCGTCAAGATTCCGACAGGAAAATTAGACAGCTGTAGTGTAGGGAAAGAAGGACGGCTGTCTCTTCAGTACCCAGTTGTGTTTGCCCTAAGCGAAAGAAACTGGGAGTCTGATTCGAGACTTCACTAGCACTTCCGGTCTCTCTTCCAGTAGAGACACCAACGAGATCTAGACATCTGTCATTGTCCTTGGGTCCGCTGTAAATTTCGAGCACGAATTTCCGAGCCCTTGTATCCCTGAGCAGACGACGAAATCCTGTTTGGGACGATCCATTGTGACACTGTCGTCCTAGATCCAGATTCAGATCACCGACTAAGAAACTGAGAGAACTTAAAGAAAGCGATTTGGGGACGCTCAAACCTCAAACACCCCAGCAAAAAAAGCAGTGTCGAGTTCGCAGCAAGCAGCTTTCGAATTTGTACTTGCCGTTTTTAGTTCTGTCAGCGAAGCTTCAAGAAAGAAAGAGCAAAGAAAGAGGAGGTTTTAGCACCGCCACCGTGTACGGACCACTGGATCCACCAAAGGACTACACTATCACGAATTTCCGCTGGCAAAGTGCTGTGTACGGCTCATCCGACAGCTGATACTGTCATTGCACACGATAGCGAGACGGCCAGGTAGCAGAACGTGAAACACGTATATTTCTAGTGACGATTTCTACCATATTCCTCGACGAATCCTCGTATTCCCCGTTCTCCTCGTCACCGTCCTTCCTCATTCGCGGCCCTTTTGGCGCTGGACACGCCAGGGGAGAGGGGATAGAGGAGGGAGGGAGGGAGGAGGGATAGAGGAAGGACGAGAGGAAGAGCGGGGGAGGATGAGGATGAGGATGAAGAAAGAACGGGGAGGGGGAGGAGGTGCGCGAGGTGCGAGGTGCGAATGCCGGGACAAGTAAGGTAAGGAGAGAATCGTGGGCAGGAGGACGACTAGGGAACATCAGGAAGGAGGGTGTAGCACAAGGGGGACGCGGAGCGCGGAGTGGGCGACAAGCACTGAGCGGCCGCAAAGAGGGGGATCGCGGGATGGCGGGGAAGCGGGGAAGGAGGGTGGGAAGGGGACATAGACAGAGGACCCGAAGATGGAGGGGAGGGCAAAGAAGCAAAGACACAGGGGGGCGACAAGGAGGAGAAACGAAGAATACATGTAACGATCGACAGAACGACAGCTGAGAAGGAGAAGGAGGGTGTGAGGGAGCAGGGGAGGCGAGGAAGCGGGGGGAGAGGAAAGAGGAAAGAGTGGAAATGCGAAGAGACGGGAGGGCGGGAGACGAAGAAGTAGGTGTGCGCATATGCGGAGGAGGTGCGGGGCGTGGTAAAATGTAAAGTAAAGGCGGGATGGAGAGTGAAGAAAGAAGAAAGATGGCGGGGACAGGTCGCACTCGGGGAGATGAGAGAGGAGCGCAGGAGAGTATGACAAGAGGAGGTGGGGCGGGTCATATGTAGACAGAGACATGGTTGTATGGAGTGCATAAGGGAGGGGAGAACGGAGGGGGTAAGCGGAGTGCATAAGGGAGGGGTGAGCATGAATGATTTCGCGATGAGTATAAAGACGGGAGTAGCGGGGGACGAAGGATGCGCGCGCCAGTGTAGAGCAAAGTGTTTCTCTGAGTCGCGGCGCACGACGAGGGCCGGGACGTCGTCAGTCTCGCGGCCGACGCTGAAAACGACGTGAGCTTGGGGTTAGATGAGACGAGGGCGAAGGCGGAAAGGGGGAGGGAGGGATGGGAGGGATGGGGACACAGATACAGAAGCTAATGGTGGGCGAGTGGATGAAGCACTCACCACCGCTCCGTCTCCGTCTCTGTCCCCTCATCCCCCCCACATACCCACTCTAAATCCCACCCCCAACAAACCGGCGCCGCTGGGCCTGCCGCCTCCGCCGCGTTCGGTGGCGGTGCTGAGGTGGCTTCGTCTTCCTCCCTTCTCTGTCGACATTTCCACATTTCCACTCTTCCACTCTTCCTCGTCGGCGTCGGCGTCGGCGTCGAAGGCACGAGGGAACGCATATCGCGTCGCTGCTGCAAACAGATCAATCAGCGCCGGGAGGTACAAGGAGTAAGGAGGAAGAGGAAGAATGAAATGACGACCTTGAGCTCGGGGCGAGTCGAGCCGCGGGGCGCAGGCCGGGGACAAGGTTGCGGAGGCCGAGGTCCACGGAGTGCGTGCCGGCGGTGCGCTCCGAGCCTTGTATCCAGCGCCCCGCCGAGGACCGCGTCTGCGTCTACGGCAGATCTACGAAAAGAACAGGTCAGCATGTTGCACGATCACAATGTCAGGAGATTATACAAGGCGTACCTCGAGCGCTTTCATAATCCCATAATCCATTGCCAGGTACCCAGCTGCAAGGAGCCAGCATGTCTCATTTGTCAGTCGTGCGTGCGCCAAGTGCGATCTAACACGAGATCAGGATCGGCGTCGAGGTCTTGAGGCGGGGCGAAGGGTGGGATGAGAGCTTGAGGGCTTGAGAGAGTCAGGAGATGGAGAGGGCGGGCAGGTGGGTGGAGGGAGTCGGCGGGGCGAAGGGATGTGGATGTGGAGGGAGTCGACGCGCCGATGGAGGGTGCACGAAAGAGGAGCAGAGCAGGGGAAGCAGCAGGGGAAGCACCGGAGGGAACGTGAAGAGGAGACGGCGGGGACGATCGTGGGGACGCAAAGATGGAAAGGGAAGGGAAAGGATGGCGGGACACGGAACGGAGCAAGCGAGCAAAAACCGACAGAGGGAGAGAAGAACGGAAGGATGAGGGGGGCATACCACTGAAAGCGGTAGGAGGGAGAGGAACGGAGGGTGGCGATATAGTTGGGAAGGAACGCGTGAGAGGAGGGGCAAGGACGAGCGCGGAACATAGAGCAGGATACGCAGCGGGACGTAGAAGAGCCGGAGCAAGGAGCTTGAGAATCGTGGCAAGGAGCGAGCGAGCGAAAGAGAGGACGGCGTGGAGAGGATGGTAAAGAGAGGGAGCATATGGGGCGGGAGGAGGCCGTGCGAAGCCAGGGAGCAAAGCAAGTGGAAGCGGGGACGCGGCAGGGTTTGGTAAACGGGAGGAGAATCGGGTCAACTCTTGTTTAATGAGGCCAGGGCGCCAGGCGTGCCTCGTAGACGAATGGCTTCAAGTTGAGGAAGGGCGGGACCACCGGCGCAGATACCGCGTTTACGTGGCTGTCGTTCCCGAATGTGGACGATGGGCGGCGGGCGGACGCTGTACGGGGTGGTGAGCAATGAGACGGGTTGGGAATATATAGAGAAGTGCGAGGGAAGAAAGAGAAGCGCACCTCGAGTTCACGCTCTCCATGCACCCGCACCTGCACTAGCCCATGTCCCTGCTGGCGAGCGAGCACGGCTATCGTGGAACCTGCGGAGGAAACGATGGGCTTCATAATACCGACTTGTGTCTTGTGAGACAGGGAATTCGAAGAGAGGATGGGAGTAAGAATGGGGTATAAACGGAGAGAATGCGGGGAGGATGCGAGGATCGACGCTGCAAGGGAAGGATAACAGTGGGATGGCTCACCCACGGATGATAGTTTCGGGGCGCTCAGCAAACGGAGCCGGCGACGAAGACGATTCGGTTTGAGACGTGGACGCGTGTCGTGCTCCAGTCCCGCTAGTCGTATATCTGCAAATCGTCTGGTAGCTCCGACGGTGCCTTGACAAACAACGGCGAGCGCGCTGAAACAAGCTTCACGAATCCCAACGCCGCAGGGATGTTTGACTCCGACTCTTCACGAGAGAGGAAATTGTGTGGCGATGCACCAGCGCATCAAATCTCGGTGCGCACGCCCGAAGTTCCGTGCTTTCTTGCCTCGCCCATTGCGAAGTTCCATCCGACCAGCCGCGCACGCCGTGTCGAACCCTCCTCTCCTCGATGAACTCAGGCTGCAGTCTGCCGCCAAATCGTTCATAAATCTTACGAGGCGACTTCCGTGGTCGACAGATGCAATTACTGCTCTGTGCCTTCAGCGCGGCTGGGTGATAACTAGCACGTAGCTCTGATGGCCATGGTTGATACTCACCGCCATGACGACTGGAGGGAAAAAAGGTTTATCATTAATCACACAACGCCCCCGGAAGGAATTGAACCCTCGTCTCCTCGATAAACTATCCTCCGACTCGAACAGAAAAGAGGCGACTTCCGTAGTCCACAGAGGCGGTTACGGCTCTGTTTTTCCAGCGATGTTGGGTCGCAGGTACGTGTTGAATTTCCTGGCGGAGACTTTCAACGATCATGGATCAACAGAACTGGCTTGCCCCCTGGATTGATTTTGTTTTTCCGTGAAGTCTTTGATTCGAAAATTCCGGATTTTTCTCCAAGACCGAAAACCAAACCAAACCGCCGCATCTTCCTCCAGCCCTCCTCGTCCCTCCGCTCCTTCATCGCGCGGATGGGGTAGTGGTAACCTGGGTCGTTGCCTAAGCGACACCCCCAAAAATGCCGCGCAGCGGCATTTTTGGGGGTGGAGCTTAGAAAAGACGCACCTGGAGGC